AAGCCCGCCCCGAACCACCCCGAGGGACAAGAAAGGCTGCCACTCCCACGCCACCAACTTTAACCCTGGAGACTACCCCCAGCCCCTAAACCCCTGCCTCTCAGCGGGAGTCGGACTGTTCAGCTCTCCAAATGACCCCACCTCCAGGGGCCACAATCCTGAGGCTCTCTTTGTTTAACGCGAGGAGGCCCTGGACGCATCTCCTTCAGCGAGTGTTTCTCAAACCTTGAGGGAGGTGGCGGGAATAGAGGCTCTGGCCCTTGTTTACACCTTTGTTCTCCAGCCGCCTTCCAGCTACACACACACACACACACACACACACACACACACACAGCATCGTTACATTCAGACCCCCTGGGTTTTGATTTTTAGGGGTGGAGGTGGAGCGAAGTTCCTGAAGACGCAAAGCAATCCTAAATTCCCACATGGTGGGTCGTCGGAGTGTTTCCACTCGTCCTGACACATTTCTATAAATCCAAAGTTACCCTGCTCTGCAACAGCTATCAAACAGCATGCGGTCAAATACAAAGGGGATATTCACAATCATAGTAAGTGTTGACACTTCTGCAACTCAAAGCAAACAGTATTCATTCAACAACTCTGTGCTGAGTGCCCGCCTCGTACCAGGCACCCTCCAGGCAGGGCCGAAGGAACAGGGAGCACCAAACAGGCAGGTTACCTGCTCTCAGGGGGTGCCCTCATCAACCCGTAGTCCCTGCTAATGAGTGTAATTGCAGACTGAGATAAGGGCGCACAGCTGGGGAGGTGCTTCTGAAGGAACCCAAGGGTAAAGGAATCAGATCAGACTGGTGGGCCAGAGCCCACCTCTGGTAGAAGAGGGTAGTAATTGCTATCTGGAGAAGCAAAAGAGTTAAGTAACCCAGTGTGACAGGGAGTGCTCCAGGCAGACCACAGAGCCAACCCGCAGGGCAGCCTGGAACAGCAAAGTGGAGTTTTAGAGTTGCTGGGTCAAGACCTAACATGTACCTTTGAGGTTCATTCATAAACCCTGTATGGATTCAAGGGAGTGGTAGCATTTGCTTAAGTCCTTGCCTTTGTCACCCAATCCCTCTGGTTGATTTTATCAAATGAAGCAATTATATCCAAAACATACCCTTATTCCTCCTATCGATTGTCACTCAGATCGTGAAGACGAGCAAAGAACCAAAGACGACCCTTGCTGAAGATCTGACTCAGAAGACCTGAGCAAAAGATCTGTCGTTAGTGATGCAAGAAGATCCAGGAAATCTGTGTAAGGTCTCTGCCCAACCCAGGGCAGACTGCTCCTGTTGCATCTGTGAGGCCGTTCGTTGCAGCTGCTGTTGGTATGTCTGTTTACCCATGTCGCCCTGTACGGCTTTATAAATAAGCAGAATTCTCTACTTTCTCTACTTAAATATAGCCATCCTTCAGAAGAGTGATAACAAATTATTTCATTTGGAGGACTCATTCAAGACCCACTTTGGGTCCTCATGGGCATACCAACACATAAATTCTTGGGGCCAGGTTTGAAGGGGGACCTTCAGAATTCTGTCACACGCAGCATCATTTTGTGGTTTGTTGGTTTGTTTTTCATAATATGCTATAGGGCACATGCAACTGGCCAGAGAGGAGAAGAAGAAAAGTTAAGAAAGTACTTTTCTCCAGGGAGATGGCCACACAGCAACCCCTTCTCTTGAGAAAATTTCTCCTCTTGAGAAAATCTGGGCACGTACATGCCCGATGTGTTTTCAAGGCATCAAGTTTGGGACTCAAACCACACAGTTGGCCATGTGGGAACCAGCTGCCTTAACCTCCACACCCCTGGTTGCCCCAGCCGTCATCCTTTTTTGTAACTAGTATTGTTAACAGGCTACTTGCTGTCCTGAAATCCAATTCATAGATAACATTGCTAGCCCAGAAAGGAATGCCCTGATGACAGTACGGAAAAGAAATGTTCTCTAGGTGAGGAATGCCCGGCAGTGCACTGCGGTCTGCTTGGTCTGGACGGAGAGATGGCCAGAGGTCTATACTCGAGCCCGGGTCCTGCTCATGGTTTTGCTGAATGGTCAGCAACCTGGAAGGAAGGCAGGTGAGAGATGGGTGACAAGGAGGCCTGGGGAAGAGGTCCATGGATGCCCCTTGGAGAATGGGAATGAAGTATGAGGTTATGTGTGCCCTGAGTTTGCCATAGGGCATCCACTTGGAAAGGGTTCTTGGTATGCAGGTGGATGACACATTGGGTGGAGTTGGCCTCTTCTCCACCTACTGCAGTGCTTGCTCAAAGCAGCTGTGGAGTCGGGAATCAAGGCTGTGTATGGGCTCAACATCGTGGGCTTCCCCACCCAAAGTCTGGCATCTCACATCGCCTTGTTGCCTGGGTTTTGATAGGGCCCTGTTTCCAGGGGAGACCAGCTAGCCATGCGGTAGCAGATTGATTATATTAGACCCTTTCCATTACTGAGCATAGTGGGGACAGAGAGGACTGTGGAGATGGGGAGGACTGTGTTCTGGGTTTTTTGTGCTACCTCTTAGCTCTTCCATATCCTGTGGTAAAAGTTTATTGAAATCAATAATTTTTAAAAAATGTCAGTGGACTCAGAGTCAACCGTGGTGGCATGCTGCTAAGAGCTCAAAGCTGGCCTGAGCAACATAGGGAGACCCTCTCTTTAGAAAAAGAACCAGAGCCAGGTATGGTGGCGCCCACCTGTAGTCCCATCTGAAAGGCCGAGGCAGGAAGATCACAACATTATAAGACCCTGTCTTTTTAAATTATTATTACTTGTAAGAGAGTGTGTGCATTTACCAGAGAGAGGGAGAGACAGAGAGAGAGGGAACGTGAGAAAGTACCTCTCCAAGGGGGAATGGCCACAGCACAACCCCTTTTCCTCCATTCTCTGCTTGGGATTTGGGGCTTCACGTTTTTGAAGCCACCAGGTCCAGACCTCAAGTCACACAGTGTTTTTGAAGTCACCAGGTCCAGGACCTAAACCACACAGTTGGCCATGTGAGACCCAGCTGCCTCAACCACCATGCCATCTGCTGGCACAGAAATATGGTAAGTTTTTCAAATTGAAATTATAAAATTATTTGGTTTGGGTGTTGAATTGTTGAAATTTATGTTCTTCAGCCCAGAGAATGCTTTCCAAGCCACTTTATTTCTTCTATGAGCAAGAGAAACAGAGAAACAGCAAGCGCAACAGGATTCCAGTGCCACAATCCACCCCCAGTCTCAGCCAGCTCTAGATCATGGGCACTACAATGTCTGGCATGCTTAGGGAGGCCTCCAGATGCAAACTGCGAACCTCCCCGTGTGGATCTAGCCTTGTAGAGCCTCGTGTTATGCCACTATGCCACTGCCTTGCCCATCCTTGGCTCCTGATCTTTACTGTCCTTGACCTTCTAACACACGTGTAATCAGTACCATTCAGTTAAGTACTTTATTTTTTATTTGCTGTAATTTATCTAGTCTCTTTAGCTGTTTTGTGTTAGTCTTCTATCATTTATTCTATTTTATCTTATGTATGTGTTGTTTCCCTCACTATATTATAAATTTCTAATGGGCACTAGCCATTCCTTATACTTCTTTAGAAGTCTGTATAGTTCTATCTTCTAAGGATAAGTTTATTAAATAATGGCAGGCTGTCTGTCTTTCTTTTCAAGATTTTTGCCATCAGGCACGTACACTCACTAAAGAGAGAGAGACAGAGACAAAGAGAAGGAAAATGAGAAATCGCCCCCCAGGGGTATGGCCATGCCACAGTCCCTTTTCTTCCATTCTTCTCCTGGGCACCCATGTCTATCACTCAGCATGATTTTCAAGCCACTGGGTTCAAGACTTGAACAGTAGGTGGCCATGTGGGAGTCCAACATCTTAACCACAGCACCACCTGCTGGCTCCCAAGCTGTCTGCATGCAAGTGGAGGTAGTGTTAGCTGGCAATTTCACTTACTGTATACCAAGATTTTTTTCTTTATAAACCTACTCAAAATCCTATCTACGGGCAAGCAAGTGGTGTGGTGGTTAGGGTGCTGGGCTCCCACAGGGCCAACTACAGTTAGAGTCCTGGACCTGGTAGTGTGCTTTCTCACATTGCTTCTCTTTCTCTCTCTCTCTGGTGAGCATTTGTGCCCTGTAGCAAATAAAAAATAGTAATGGTAAACAATATTAAATAAATAATTCTTTTTGTAAAAAAAATCCTACCTACTACCAAAAGTGTAACAAATCAACACTGTAGGGCTGGCAGGTGGCATGGTGGTTAATGCATTGGACTCCCACTTGGTCAGCCGTGGTTCGAGTCCCAGACCTGGCAGCTTGCTTTCTCTCTCAACCTCTCTCTGGTCAAATTGAAGAATAATAAATAAAATTAAGTGAATAACTCTTTTTTAAAAATAGAAGGATATAACTTAAAAAAAAAAAAGCAACACCATGAAAATTTTTCAGAAGTATAACAAGTAGGGCCGGCAGGTGGTATAGTGGTTAAGGCTCTGGACTCCCACATAATCAGCCATGGTTTGAGTACTAGATCTGGTGGCTTGAAATCGCTCTGGGTGCACATTCATGCATGCCCCAAATCCCAAGAGTAGACTGGAGGAGAAGGGATTTCCGCGTGGCTGCCCCACAGAGGATGATTTCTCACTTTCCCTGTCTCTCTCTGGCACATGCACATGCCCTATCGCAAAAAAAAAAAAAAAAAGAAAAAAGAAAAAGAAAAAGTGGAACTAAGCAAGTTATTATAGTGATTTAGAAATGAAAAGTGTAAATGTTTTTCTGTGAGGCATTGCTAAAATAAGTAAGGTTTGCTCTGGTTTAAAATTTCCAATCTTGGGAGCCAGCAGATGACCAGCAGGTAGTGGTTAAGGTACTGGACTCCTGCATGGTCTACTGCAGTTCAAGTCCCAAACCTGGCAGCTTGAAATTCATGCTGGGTGCATGTGCATGTGTGCCCAAAATCCCTGGAGCCTAATGAAAGAGAAGGGATTATGATATAGCCATCTCCCCTGAGAGGGTGATTTCTCATTTTCTCTCTCTCACCCTATAGCAAAATTCTCTCCAAAATAAATAAATAAATAAAACTTTCAATTTTTTTTTTTTGGAGAGATTTTCACTGTAGGGCGCGTGTGCTCACCAGACAGACAGAGAGAGACATAGAGACAGAAAGCGAGAAATCACCCCCCAGGGGAGATGGTCACGCCGCAATCCCTTCTCCTCCATTCTCCTCTCGGGATCTTGGGCACGCACGCACACGCGCCCGGCGTGAGTTTTAAGCCACCGGGTCCAGGACGTGAACCGCGGTCGACTACGTGGGAGTCCAGCGACATAGCCATTACGCTAACTGCTGGTTCCCAACTTTCAATTTTTTAAAACTTTCTTTTATTTCTTTTTTTTTTCAGTTTTTTAATATAGAGTACATGCACTCACAGACAGAGAGAGCTAGAGAGATAGTGAGAAATCATCCCCCCCACCCACCCAGAAGGATGGCCATGACACAATATATTTTCCTCCGTTCTCCTCTTGGAATTTTGGGCAAACACACACATGTGCCTCACATGATTTTCAAGCAATTGGGTAGAGGACTTGAACCGTGGAGTTGTCTATGTGAGATCTAGCTCCTTAACCTCCATGCCACCTGCAGCCCCTTTACTGTGGTATAAAAATTCTATTCTAGTTCTTTTAAATTTCTTTAGACAGCTGTCCTGGAAACAATAAATTGAAGAAAACACTAGAGGATGCACAAATAAGATACACATTAGAAGGTTTAGCAGGTGTCGTAGTGGTTAAAACACTGGACTCCCACATGGCCGACCCTGGTTCAAGTCCCGGACTCAGTAGCTTGAACCTCACATTGTGTGTGTGTGTGTGCCCAAAACACTAAGACAAGGGTGCAGAAGGGATTATTGCAGGGCCATCCCCCTTTAGGAGTAATTTCTCACTTTCCCTCTCATTGTCTCTCTCCCTCTCTTTGTCTCTCTCCTGAGCTCATGTACCCTATGACAAAACCTAAAGTAAAATAAAATACACAAAGATGGGAACAAAACAAAAAAGAGAAAGGCTGCCAAGACATGCCTAGAGAGTAGAGTCAAGCATCAAGCTCCATTTAAAGGGCAGAACCCAGGCACAGAAGGAGAATACCACACATTCCCCCTCACCTGTGGAAATGGGAAAACACCTCGTGGAAGTAGAGAACTGAAGAATGACTACTACTGGAAGCTGGGAAGGATGGGGGTAGGAGGAGATGGAGGAATGTCCACTAATGGAAACAGAACTACAGATAAGAGAAACACTGTTTAGTATTACAAAATATAGTAGGGAGAATTGGTAACATACTGTTTATCTCAGAGCGGCTAAAGAGAAGTTGTTTCATATTCCCAGCACAGCATAATGACGAATGTTCGAGATGATGGAATACTAATTGTCCTGATCATTGCATATTGTATTCCTGTACTGAAAATCACTGTATCCCTACCAATATTTACAATAACTATGTGTTAATGAAAAGTTTTGAGGGCCAGCCTCATGGTCTGGTGGTTAAAGGAACTGGATCCCACTTACCTGACCACAGTTCAAGTCCCAAACCTGGCAGCTTAAGAAACATGCCAGGCATGTATGCATGCATGCCGAAAATCCTGATAGCATGGAGAAATGAAGAAGGGATTGTGGCATGACCATGCCCCGTTAGGGAGTGCTTTCTCTCCCCCCTCCCCTCTCTCTCTCTGTTTCTCTGTCTCTCTGTTTCCATCTCTGGTCAGCCCAGGTGCCCTGTGGGGAAAAATAATTAATTTTCTTTTTAATTTTTAAAAAGGGCAAAACTCCTAATGGGATACTTCAACATGCAATAGTGGCCCTTCAACTTCATTGGGACCTTGTGAAATCTGAGGGACCATTTCAACCTTCCTTCAGAAAAATGACCAAGCAAATTCACAAAATTTAACTTCCCCTTTCTCTTCTCCTTTATAAGCACACTTCTCAAAGGAGGTACCTCCAGTTCCTCACCTCCTCCACCCTCCAGCTGGTGCCTCTCACCCCTGTCCCCTGAAATCCCAGACTCCGACCAGCTCCAGGATGGTCCATCCTGACAACACATAGTCTTTGGCCCACCAGATCTCTCTTGATCTCCAGACCCACCAGATGCCTCCCCCTCTCTTGGGTATTTTAAAATCACCTCATACCCAGCATGTCCACAGAGGAATTTCTTCCCCTAAACTCGCTCCTCCTTCTGCATTCCCCTTGCCCGTAAATGACACCTCCATGGACCTCTAAGAACAAAAGCCAAGGTTCGCCCTTGCTTCTTCCCCTTTCCTCTCACTGCTCACATCCTGCCAGTTACCACGTCTGCTCAGTTCTGTTTTCTTCTTATCTCTTAAATCTGTCCCTAGTTCTGATCGTCTGGGGCCCTGGCTTATCTTAACGTTTACCTGCTTTATTGGAACACCTTCTTAGCTATTTTCACTGGATCCCTTCTTTACCCTGTGGGTGAGACGATCTTTCTAAACGCAAGCCCTGATCGGGTCGCAACCCCTTCAAGGGCTTAGGTACGTGTGCTGTTCAAGGTCCTCCATGCTTCCTACCTGCATCATCCCTCTTGTAGAAAAGCCACATTACTCAATGGGGGCGGGGGTCAGGGGAGGCCCCCTTCACATCCTAATCTGTGTGAATGGAGACTGCTGGAGTCGCGCAGGGCACGACCTCTGAGACTAATAAGGACAAGTGGAAAAATTCATTTTTGTTTCGCTATAGGACATGTATACTCATCAGAGAGACAGAGAGAGGGAGAGGGAATGTGAGAAATCACCCTCCGGGGAAATGGCCACACCATAGTCCTTTCCCTCCATTCTCCTCTTGGGATTTTAGGCACACACACACATTCTAGCCACAGGGACTGGGATTCGAACTGTGCAGCTGGCCATGTAGGATCCACCATGCCACCAGCTGGTTGATCAAAGCATTTTAATATAAGTTTGATTAAACGATTCTGTAAGGTAGTGAGGACATGCATCCTTAGCTTTGTTTGACAGGTGATAAACTAAGCTTTAGCCAAGTTAAATGATTCACTCAACATTATGGTCATTCCAAAATATTTACTCTGCCTCTCCCATGTGCCAGATATTATACAATGAATTAGAGACACAAAAGGCGAATAATTGCAGTCCTGGTTCTAAAAGAGAGAGGAAGGTAAACAGGCAATTATAGGATAAAGACATAAATACCACAATGGGTTTAAGTAGAGGGTGCGGAAGGTAAACCTTGATGAACTTCTAATCTAAACTTCGGAGGTGGAGTAAAGGAAAACTCACGGGGCAGGTGATATCTGAACAGAATCTGAAGGACAAATAGGATGAAAGAGATAAAGATGCACAGGGGTGGATCTTTATTGTTGTTAGCTTTTCCTTTATATTTTTCTAGGCTGTGTTGTTTAGGGACATCTAGTTATCCCTTCTCAGCAGATTTTCAGAATGAATTGTTCCTTTTGGTCTCTGAATTAATGTTGCTATATCAGCTTTTTTCAAAAACAGTGTTTGGCATGCCTTTTTTGTTTTCTTTTTTCTTCATATATTTTGCATCATTTTTGTCTTGTTGTTCTAGAAATGTCATTGAAAATCATGAAGCAATGAATCAGGTTGCAAGCCCATTCAGTATTTTTTATTCTAATAAATGAATTTTTAAAAGGAGGGGGCAGCAGGTGGCATGGTGGTGGTCAAGGTGCTGGACTCCCACATGGCTGACCATGTTCGAGTCCCAGACCAGGTGACTTGAAAATCATCACACTGGCACATGCGCATGTGTGCCCGGAATCCCAGGAGGAGAATGGAGAAGAGATCATGTCATGGCCATCCCGTGTGAGGTGATTCCTCACTTTCCTTCTCACTGTCTCTGTCCCTCTCTGGCAAGTGCATGCATCCTATAGCAAAAACAAAAACAAACAAGAGAAAAGAAAAAGAAAGAAAAAGAAAAAGAAAGAAAGAAAGAAAGAAAGAAAGAAAGAAAGAAAGAAAGAAAGAAAGAAAGAAAGAAAGAAAGAAAGAAAGAAAGAAAAAAAAAGAAAAAGAGAGAGAGAGAGAAAGCAAGCTACCAGGTCCAGGACTCAAAACGCAGTTGGCCATATGGGAGTCTAGCACCTTAACCACCACTCCAACTGCTGACCCAATAACCATGCTTCTTGAAAGAGATGACTCTTGTTTTCTTTGTTTAACTCTACTTCATCACCTCCTCAGCCCATTCCAACTAGTGCCCCTGAGCCCAATCCCCTGAAACCACAGGGACCCTGAGTAGCTCCATCCTGGAAGGTCCATCCTGACACCAACACAAATCTAGTGGCTGCACTGCCGAAGTGAGCACAGAATCTGTGTCTTTTTCCTAAACTACAATAGTATGAACAGCCAGAACGCTTCAAAAGATAGGGCCGGCCTCTGTGGCACCACTGGTAGCAGTCAGCACTGTGGAGCTAGAAGCCACATCCAGCTGCCGTTTGAGTGCCCAGCCTACTTGGCCTGCAAACACGCCAGGTGTGTGAACCCCTGTACCAGCAGCCTAGTGGGCTGCAGGACTGGAGGAAGAGGATTGATCTCAGCATGACCAAGCCCTGGGGAGGGGGTTCTCGGTCTCTCTCCCTTCCTCTCACTCCCTCTCTCATGCACCTACATGTGCTCTATTACAAATACAAAAAATAAAATTTCAAAGTAGGACAGGTGGGAATAAGGAATATAGTAATCATGGAGTGATATCAGTTCACTAACTGGCCATACATCTGGTGTTCTATATTCATTTAAGTCTAAATTATATATAAATCTTAGCACATAGATTAAGATATATATCTCATTATTTCTTTCTTTCAGACCAAGTTGCTGGGACCATGATGGTGTAATGGTTACAAAGCTGGACTCCCGTGTAGTCAACCACAGTTTGAGTCCCGGACCCAGCAGCTTCAAACTCATGCTGGGTGCATGTGCATGCATGCTCAAAATCCTGAGAGGAGAATGGAGCAGAAGAGATTGCAGTGTGGCCATCCCCCTGGGAGGTGATTTCTTATTTCTGTCTCTGTTTCTCTCTGTCTCTATGGCAAGCACACATGTTCTATAGCAAAAATCTCTCTTTAAAAAAACAAAACAAGTTGTTGATGGCCTGCTCTGTAGCTTAGTGATTAAGGGAGCCAGAACCCATGTGGCTGACTGCATTTTATATCCTGGCCCCGGTGGCTTCAGAAACACACCATGCATGTGTGTGTGTGTTTGCATAAAATCCAGACAAGACAGAGAGATGAAAGAGAAGGGATTGCAGAGTGACCATGGGGGTGCTTTCTCCTTCTCCTTCTCTTTTTGTCTCTGTCTCTCTCTGGTGTACACATGGCCTTTGGCAATTAAAACCAAAAATTACCAAGCTAGTTGTTGAAAATGGTGTATCAAGGGCCCGGGAACACACAGGATAAGCAGCTCTTCTTCCTCATACATCAGTTTTACTTAATTATTCAAGGAGTTGAGTTATTTAACTTGGAAAGTAATTTGAAGCAGTATTTTCATACTTATATAAACAAATGGAAGGGTCTGCAGCAGGTGGTATGGTGGTTAAGGGCACTGGACTCCCACATGGCTGACCACAGTTTGAGTCCCAGACCTGATGGCTTGCTTTCTCACTTTCCCTCTCTTTCTCTCTCTCACTCACTCAGTCCCTCTCTAGTCAAATTAGAATGAATGAATAAATAAATAAAGTTAAATAAAATAATTATTTTTAAAAAAAATGGATATATTATGGCATGGGCTGTGACATTTACATACATCTTCTAAATAAACCTGCAACTTCAAACACCTTGTGTTTGCTGCTAACTGTTCCACACTGTCTCCCTCCACACCTTCCCTCCAACCAAATCTTCACCTGCTGGAGTTCAAGAGTAAGTCTTTGTTTGTTTGTTTGTTTTGTTTTGTTTTTAGAGAGAGATTTTTGCTATAGGATGCATGCACTTGCCAGACAGACAAAGAGAGAGATAGAAAGGAAGAAATCCTTCCCATAGAGGATGGCCACACCGCAATCCCTTCTCCTCCCGGGATCTTGGGCACGCACATATATGCACCCAGCATGAGTTTTAAGCTACCAGGTCCAGGACTGGAGCCACCGTCAACTACGTAGGAATCCAGCAACATAATCATTACACATCTGCTGGTCCCAAGTCTTTACCCACTTAGACCTTTGAGGAGGAAAGTTTATTAAGTACTGCTTTTTAGGTTTGGTAAGCTTCCATGCTGCTGCAAGAAGCAAAGAGACCTGATCCAACAAGCTCTGCGGCTGGTACTCTTACATCAGGGGGCCGCATTCGTAGTCGCATTGATCTGTTGGTCTGTTCTTCATTTACAGCCTGCTATGGGATCGATAAACAATTTTTTAAATATTGGCTGCTAATCTCCAGAAATATCAGCTATTTTTTCATGCAGTGGGATCAGTACTAACTTTCCATTCCACAAGGAAAGAATTCTAAATCAAAATCCCCTTGTTGTTTGGCCAGCGGCTCACAATCCTGGTGTGTAAAGGTCAAGACATTATACCTAAGAGAAGGGGAGGGGAGAACTAACATTTACTGGGTCTCTACTATGTGCCAGGCACAGTGCCAGGTGTTGTAAGTTCCCTCACCATTCTCCTGGAACGCACCAGACACATTAATCCTGCCGACCTTTGTACAATGTCTGTCCCTGATGTAAGATCTTATTGTTGGACAGACTACTTTGAATAGTGATGACGTGTTTGTCTCTCACTGTACCATAAACTGCTTGGGACTAAGTCCCATTTCAGATTCATCTTTTTATTTTTAGTACAAACAGTGCATGGTCACGTACTATACCTCAGTTAAATTTTATTAACTGAACTAAAATAATCTCTTCTCATATATAGGCTATTTCTAAGGAACGAGTGCCGAGCCAGTCCTGTAGCACAGTGGTTAAGGGAGCCAGAGCCCACATGGCTAACCATAATTCAAATCCCAGCTCTGGAGGATTGAAAAACATGTAGAGCATGTATGCATATGTGCCCAAAATACCGATGGGATGGAAACATGCAGGGAAAGGATTATGGCATGTCCGTACACCATTGGGGACTTTTTCTCTCAGTCTCTCTCTCTCTGAAAAGTACACATGCCCTCTGGTGATAATAAAAAAGAAAGAAGAAAGAAAGAAAGAAAGAAAGAAAGAAAGAAAGCCTTCTTCATACTTCAAAAATCATCTTCTTTCTCTAAATCACCTTATGCAAGGTCAGCAGATGGCATGGTGGTTAAGGAGCAAGACTCCCACATGGCCCACCATGGTTCAAGTACCAGACCTGGTGACTTGAAAATCTTGCTGGGGGGAACCAGAAGTTAGCGTAATGGCTATGTTGCTGGACTCCCCCGTAGTCGACCACAGTTCACGTCCCGGACCCGGTGGCTTAAAACTCATGACAGGCACATGTGCGTGCGTGCCCGAGATTCCGAGAGGAGAATGGAGGAGAAGGGATTGCAGCGTGACCATCCCCCCTGGGGGGTGATTTCTCGCTTTCTGTCTCTATGTCTCTCTCTGTCTGTCTGGCGAACGCGTGTACCCTATAGCGAAAATCTCTCCAAAAAAAAAAAAATCATGCTGGGCATGTGTTCGTACGTGTGCAAAATCCCCCAAGGAGAATGGAAGAGAAGAAATTGCACCATGGCCATCCCCCTGGGGGGATGGGCAATTCTCACTTTCTGTCTCACTGTCTCTCTGTCTCTCAGGCAATTGTGCATACCCTCTATGAAAACAAAATTACCTTGTACAGTTTCATCATCACTCACTAAAGAAATATAGAGAATAGTACTTATGTCAATTTTTTTCTATGTTTTCAGGTTCCAGAATATTTTCAATTCTCCCCCGGTGCAAAAATAAATAGATTATAGGCTCAATGTAGAACATAAACCACACACACCTTTTTTTTATCTTTGTAAAACATTCTTTATAAGACTTTAATAACTAATACATGACTTATATCTGTAAAGTGAATTAATAAGTATAAATGTCCCCCAATCTGGAAGTACAAGTCTGTAGCCTCAGAGATATTTTGTCCCCTCCCCCGAGTCAATGTAATCAAAATGGAAATTTTTTTTTTCTCATCACTGCACTTTAGAGTGTATAAAAAGTATGCATTGGGGACCAGGAGTTGGAGTAATGGCTATGTCGCTGGACTCCCATGTAGTCGACCACAGTTTGAGTCCCAGACCAGGTGGCTTAAACTCATACCAGGCGAATGTGCATGCGTGCCCAAGATCCTAAGAGAATGGAGGAGAAGGGATTGCGGCGTGGCCATACCCCCTGGGGGGGGTGATTTCTCGCTTTCTGTCTCTCTGTCTCTCTGGTGAACACACACCCTATTGAAAAAAATCTCTCAAATTTTTTTTAATTTTAAAAAAGTATGCACTGTCTACACACACGTGAACACACAGACACATACACATAAGCATAAAGGAGGAAAAATAATTAGAAAGTAGGAGATTAACCAACACTCTGATTTAGAGCCAGCTCAAATTTATGAATTCAAAAGTTTTGAACCTGGGACCAGCAGATGACATAATGGTAACATCACTGGACTTCCACATAGTTGACCACAGTGCAAGTACTGGACCTGGTGGCTTAAAACTCATGCCTAGCACTGTGCATGCAAGCTCAAAAATCCCAAGAAGAGAATGGATAAGGGATTGCAGTATAGTCATCCCCCTTGGAAGGGTGATTTCTCACTTTCTGTCTCTCTGTTGCTTGTCTCTCCAATGAGCATGCATGCTCTATAGTAAAGATCTTAAACTCTTTTTAAATAAAGTTTTGAACCTAATCTAACTCCTCAAATTCAAATTCACTTGACATTTGATATACTATGACTTCCTGTTTTTGTAGAACATTTTCAAAAGTGATTCAATACATTTTTTAGACAATGTCTAACTCCTACAATGCAAGATTTGGAATATTTAGCAATAAAAGAATAAGGAGTATTTGTAATACATTTCTTAAGATGTACACATTTTCAAAAACTCAGGGGGAAAACTTCTTGGCCAAGTCCGTCTGTGGTTTCATTGAACAATTGAAAATTAGTTAATGACTTTCAGAGGCACAAAGCTACAGCTGGGTTTTTCCATCCAGTCTGCAACACACATAGCTGTCAGCCAGTGAAGATAGAACCCATAGGAAAGTACCCTCAATTTTTGCAGAAACAGGAAAGAATTAAGATTTACTGTCTAGCACTTTTCATGACTGGAGGCTGCATTAGCAAGGAAATCAAGAATGAATGGAAGAATCCCAAAATGTACATACATGTTTTACATTTATTATTTTTTGCTATGTAATTGCCCATGCATGGCCCATGGTGGAAAATATGCTGGCAAATAGCAAATCTGCCAAAGAGCTCACTGGAGGTCTTTAGGAGCATCGCTGAAGTTCTATAATAGCTCTGTTGTCACGCAAAAACTTTTTATTAAAGTAATCAAGCACTTAGAATATTTCACGTAAGGTTGCAGACCCCTAATTTCTCAAGCCCCAACAGCCTAAGGTTATATTAAGTCTTCTTTTTTTCAAGTTTTTTGCCATAGGACATGTATGCTCCCTGGAGAGAAACAGAGAGAGACATCGAGATAATGAGAGTGAAAGTGAGAAATTGCTCCCCAGGGATCCAGCCACCTTAATCACCATGCCACAGACCAGCTTGAGAGATATACCATCTTAATGGATGAGAAAAGTCAATATTTTAAACATTTCAGTGTTACCAAATTAATCTATTAATTAATTCAATGTAATTCCAATAAAAATACCTACCATATATTTTTAAGAACAGGACAAGCTGATACCAAAAATTATGTAGACACTAAGAATAACCAATACAATTATGAAGAAGAACAAAGTGGGGAGATATACCTTACCTG